AGCCCCGTAAACTATTTCAAAGAGAGAAAGTTTAGATATCTTCGATTCATAATTCAAGAAAGAGTAGACATCAATAATGATATTGCACATTGCATTGGAATGACATGAATGAAATGGAGACTTGCCTATGAGGCTTCATAATAAGATACTACCTAAACTTTTACATGGTTAAAGCAATCTTTGGTATAAAGTGAAATGCTTAACTAATCAAGAATTTACATGTTCAGGAGATTCATTGTGGCGGATAGATAAAATTAGAAATACAACTTATGGAAGAAGGTGGACGGACAAGATGCAGAAAGCAAAACTGAAATAAAATAGATATGCAAAGAGAACCAATATGGCGGAGCAAGAGGTTGACGTAGGAGATACACATAGGATTAGAGGTAAACCGGAAAATATATTAAAAAGGAGAATTTAAACAAGACATAATACAAACTTTATATTATTAAAGACGTCTACATAGAAACGAGTAGAAGTAACGTATTAGCATAAAAGGTTATTAGGTAGAGTTTGTTTTGTCATGATGTATTGTCATACTCAATATTGTCTATTATATTTCATTGTTGCAATTTTACTTTATTTTGGTTATATGTTAATAAATTCCTTGTAGCTCAAAGAGGAATAAACAGAGACGACCACACAAAACAAAGTACAGCGAGGAAATCATAATCATATTCATAATGTTCTCCAATAAATAAACAAAGAATTCCGTAATTATATTCAACAATAACAATTTTATAATACAAATAAATCAACTACCCTAACTTCATCAATTTTTCGGCGAATGAAAAAAATGCAAAATATTTCATAGATCAGAGGTTTAGAGCATCAAAGCAGCAGCAAAGACAGCTACAACAGCAGATCCGGCAACGGCGACTCTGTTCAATGAAGCAGAGTTAGGAGATTCAGAAGGAGAACCTCCGGGAGCGGCGGCAATAGACGGAGGAGAAGCAGCACCGGAAGGAGACGACGCCGGAGTCTCGGAAGTTGGTGGAGCCGGAGGAGATGCCAATGGAGAAGATGCAGTAGTAGGAGCATTTGCAGGAGCAGAGATAGGTGATGTTGACGTTGTTGACGGAGGAGTAGCCACCGGTGGTGATGCTACCGGTGCCGGTGAAATCTTCGGAGAAGCTGCCGGAGCTGCTCCCGGTGCCTGTGCGAAAGCAGATCCGGCGATAAACGCCAACATTAGAGCAATTATCACCTTTGAGTATGCCATTTGAGTGAGAAAAGTGGAAGAAGCACAAACAGAGGAAATGAAAATATGAGTTGTGAATACTTTTGATTTTGATAAAAAAAAAACAGAGGAGAAGACTGTATTTATAGGTGGGAAAGTGATTTTATAATTGAAAATTACTACTCGTAATTAGTAGTTAACAACTCAACGACAGAAGATGTGACTGAATCCAAGCTGGTTACAGTTTTGTTTGCGTGTGAAGAGATGAATTATTCTAAACAAAAAAATTGTTCGAATATTTCTTTGTACAACTACTTTTCAAATTTGATTTCTTATAAAATTTTGAATCTATATTATAAGCAAGAAAATAAATATGGTTTCCGTTATGATTGTTTTTTTTTCCTTTCAAATTGAAGGAATATTATTTTGTACTTTTTTACTTATAAAATAATATTAAAAGTTGAAAATACACTTATATTATCTGTATTTTTGAGTTTCACACAACTTATGTTTGGATAGTGAGAAACACGTATGAAATATTACTAATAATGAGTTAACGCGATCACTTTAAAAAGAGTTAATATGATGTATATAGTTATTTTTTTTGTCTCGATTTATGTAACACATTTTATTTTTCGAGAGTTAAATAATTTAAATTTGATCAAAATTTTGTTAATGAAATTTATATATTTGTTAACTACAGAAAAAGTTCTATAAATCTCAATAATTGATGATTCAAAATAATTAAAAGATATATGAAAAACTAAGATTAAAAATAGACTTGTTTGAATTTCCAAACTCAAAATGTATATCACATAAATTGAAAGAGAGTATTACTTATTAGAAGACGGTATAACACTTACACTTATTGATAAGACACTAGACAAAGCTTATAATAAGTTGGAAGTTTGGGGACGAATTTTAGACTCCAAAACATTCAAGTTAAGCATAACCAAAATGAAATATGGAGTACAGAATCAGTGTTGCATTAGATGAAGCCGACATAGAAGTAATACTTGCCACACAAACTATTTCTAATGGAGAAAAGTTTTAAGTATCTTGAATTCTAATCCAAAACATTAATAATGATATCACACATTGCATCAAGCGACATGGATGAAATAAAGGTTTGCCTAAGTCTTGTGTCATAATAAGATACTACTTAGATGTAAGTTTAACAGAATAATGGTTGAACGAATTTTTTCGTATAGAGTGAAAATGCTTATCAAGGATTTACATATTTAGAAAATGCATATTGCGGATATAATAATATTAAGATAAATGTATGAACATATTAAGAGGAACAAACTTAGAAATAAGGTTATACGAAAATAGGCGAGAGTAATTTTGAAAAACCTATTGAAAAAAGGTATTTAAACAGAATTTCAAATAAAACAAAGTCTAGAGAGGAAATCATAATCATAATGTTCTCCATAAATAAATAAAGAATTCCGTAATAGTATTCAATAATAACAATATAATACAAATAAATCAACTACACTAACTCCATCAATTTCGGCGAATGAAAAAATTGCAAAATATCTCACATAACAGAGACTCAGAGCATCAAAGCAGAAGCAAAGACGGCCACAACAGCAGATCCGGCAACGGCGATGCTGTTCAACGAAGCAGAGTTAGGAGATTCAGTAGGAGAACCTCCGGGAGCGGCGGCAATAGACGGAGGAGAAGCAGCACCGGAAGGAGACGACGCCGGAGTCTCGGCAGTTGGTGGAGCAGGTGGAGATGCCAATGGAGAATCAGATGGAGGAGATGCAGTAGTAGGAGGATTTGCAGGGGCAACGATAGGTGATGGAGTAGCCACCGGTGGTGATGCTACCGGTGCCGGTGAAATCTTCGGAGAAGCTGCCGGAGATGTTCCCGGTGCCTGTGCGAAAGCAGATCCGGCGATAAATGCCAACATTAACGCAATAATCACCTTTGAGTACGCCATTTTGAAGTAAGAAAGAAGTGAAAAAAAACACAAACACAAACAGAGGAAATTGAAATATGAGTTGATTGTGAAAAAATTGAAAAGGAAAACAATGTATTTATAGGAAGTGAAATATAGAGTCGGTTTAGCAAAAAAAATAAAAATAATAATAAAGTGATTTAATAATAATTAGTTGACAACTCAAGAATGGAGGAAGAAAACAGGAAATGTGACTGAGTTTCCAGCTGGTTATATTTATTTATTTTTCTTAGCGTGTAAGAGATAATTTTTCTAGAAAAATAATAATTTGTTTGAATGTTTCTTTTACAAGTACTCCCACTTTTTAAAACTCTGTTTCCATTTATATTTCCTTTTTTTTTGGGAGAATCATATATTCGTGAATTAAGTAAAAAGATATTTTAAAATATAATAATTAATAATTATTTTATAAATAATTATAATAAAAAATAAACTTATTTAAATTTGTTTAATCAAAAGAAAAAGAATCTATAGGACAGAATTTTAATTATTGGCAAACATTATGGTTACCGTTATGATTGGCACGTTCTAGTCTGGCTAGCGGCTATTCGTTCATGCGTTGGCCACCTAAAAAGGGCGATGGAAGATGTTCAAAAAGCTAGCTTGTAAAATATATCAAAAATATTTTGATGTATATTTCTAGTTTAATTTTAAGATTTAATTTAATAACGCGCTAAAGATAAATCATATAAATAAAGGAAATATTAATTTATCATGATAAAAGGTTGACGATAAAAATTAGGAAATATTGTTCCTGTATATTCAGTCTTTTGATATTGAACTCACTATACTATTAGGGGTCGTTTGATGTGTGAATAAAAAAAAATTGAAATAAATATCTAGGTGATTTTTTTAATATTGCAAAGGCTAGAATAACTCATCTCAGGTAGAATAGTAATCCAAATATAACTTATACATAAAGTATGATAAAAATACTTCCTTTTAACTCTATTTTATACACCACTTTCATGTACATTAACATAATTTTTAATAATATTTAGAACAACATTTACAACTTCAATTAGTCATTTATTTTTACACTAATATATATTTTTCTATTAAAAATTATGTTAATAAATATGATTTTTATTTATGAATATATTACAAGATAAATTTATTTGCCTAATTCTTATGTTTATTTTTATTTTGATTTCTCTTAGAATATTGACTCCATTACTATATTATATATTTTTAATTAAATACTTTATTAATCACTTAAAAATTATATTTTGTATATCAATTAAAATGTAGATAACCTTAATAATAAAAATCTTTTCTACAAATAAATTTAAAATGAAAATTTTATTTTTAAGCCAAATAAGATGAAAGTTTTATTTTTAAGTTAAATAAGATGAAAATTTTATCTTAAAATTTTAAAAAATGAGAATTTTATTTTCAAACTAAATAAAATGGAAGTTCTACTTTAAAGTTAAACAAGATGAAAATTTAATTTTAAAAAACACATGGCACAATCATGGACATGGAAATGCATACACAAAAAGATTTAAACTATAGGATGAAAAAATAATAATTTAAGAATGAATGAATAAAATTTTCAAAAAAAAGAATATATATAAAAAACTAAATAACATGGAGAGTGTTTTTTTTTTTATAAACTAACAACTTATTCTTAGAAATTATATAATAAATACAAGTATAAATATGACAAATCAAACAAAGAAATAAAAACCAATACCAACCCAACTTACTATTCCAAGCATAACTTGTATTTAAACCGAAAACCCTTCTAACATTATAGATGGTCCATGTCTATTATTTTGTTAATTATAATAATTTTTTTACGTAATTGAAAGTTATGGTTTTTAAATCCCTGCATGATTATCTATGGTTTATCAAAACATGCGAATCAAGCTATATAAAAATTGTTCCCGTAAACATAATATTTGAACCAAAAGTTCATATATTTCTCATCGAACCAAAAGTGAGAGTGCGGCCTAATTTCATAAAGTCATTCCATCGAAAATAAATGTTATATGTTTTTTATTTTCAAAATAGAAATACAGAATTAGATAACTCTCGATAGGTAAAATAAAAAAAAATCCCGTAATTATATTTAACAATAAAAATATATAGTACAAATAAATCAACCGCGAAACTCAAAACTCAAAAAAGAATTGGTAAACAAAAACGTGGAAAACAAACCCTAACTAATCAATTCAGGCGAATGAAAATGGCCAAACATCTCACAGATCAGAGATTTAGAGCATCAAAGCAGCAGCAAACACAGCTGCAACGGCAGATCCGGCGACGGCGACCCTGTTCAAGGAAGCAGAGTTAGGAGATGCGGTAGGAGAATCTCCGGGAGTGGCGGCGATGGTTGGAGGAGAAGCAGCACCGGAAGGAGATGATGACGGAGTCTCGGCAGTTGGTGGAGCTGGTGGAGAAGCTAATGGAGAGTCAGATGGAGAAGATGCAGTAGTAGGAGGATTTGCAGGGGCAACGATAGGTGGTGTTGATGTAGTAGGAGGAGGAGTCGCCACCGGTGGCGATGCCACCGGTGCCGGAGAACTCTTCGGAGAAGATGCTGGAGATGCTCCCGGTGCCTGTGCGAAAGCAGATCCGGCGATAAACGCCAACATTAGAGCAATAATCACCTTTGAGTATGCCATTATAACTTTTAAGAGAAAGTGGAAGAAGCACAAAGAGGAAATGGAATTATGAGTTGTGATTACTTTTGATTTTGAATAATAGACGAGGAAAAGAGTGTATTTATAGGAATAAAATGTGGGAAATATATTTTTTATTTTTTATTTCAGTGAAGTCAGTTTAAACCAAATGACGGAGCGATAAATATTTTTTCTTCCTTAATTAGAGATCAAGTTAAAAAAGTCGATTTAAACTAAGTGATAAAGTGATAAATATTTTTTCTTCCTTAGTTAGAAATCTTATATCCCAAGTCCTTAAGAATACAAGATCACTTCTATCACGGAAAATTTACCTTCTAATACGAAACATTTCGAAATTAATTCAGATAATATAAATATTAGATATTATACGAAAAAAGTAAAAAATTAATTTAACAATAAAAATGAATATTAATTTTGAAATAAGAGTGTTGACTAGCAACAATTAGTTGGCAACTCAACAACTGAATAATAAGAAAAGAGGGGATATGACTGAGTCCAGAGTCCCAGCTGGTTTGATTACTTTTGTTTGAATGTTTCTCAGTATAATTATATTCTTTTTCTCTCATTATTTTATTTAATTTAATATGATATAATTTAGAAAATATAAAAGATTATAATATAAAATGGAGACAGAATTTTAATTATTGGAAAACACTATGGTTACCGTTATGATTGGCACGTTCTGGTCTAGCTACTGTGGATTTAAAAATTCGTTTATGTGTTGGTTGGCCACCTAAAAAGAAAAGGTACCCTGGATTTTAGAGAATGGAAAATATTTATTCATTTTCTAATTTTTATTTATTTAATTTTGACTCAGTGTAAAGTTTATTGAATCATGTAATCTAAAAAATACATATTATTTTTAACTTTATTAAGTTTAAATATGTCACGTGAAAAGTTAGAATTTAAGAATTATTAATGAAATTTTTTTTTTAGATAAATTACAAAGAAAAGTAAGAAAAATAAATTAAAACCAAGAGTAAGATATGTGTTTGCACTTAATTATACTATCTTCGTTTCATAATAAATGGTATTTTTAATTTGAACATTTTAAAGAAATTACTCATTCCTAAAAAGTTAGAAGTATCTTCAATAATGTAAAATTCATAAACTAAAACAAGAATGATTTTGAAAAAAATAAAATTAATTCCTTCTTGAAAACTTAAAATACCATTTATCTCGAAATAAAAGGTAAAAGATTAAAATACCACCACTTATTTCAGATTAGAGGAAGTATCAATTTATTCCTCAGTCGTTCCATATTAATTATCCTTTTTAAAAAAAAAATTCACATGCTTTTTAAAAAATTATATAAAAATATTTTAACTAATTTATCCTTAATGCTATCAATATTATTTACTTTTAAACAATTAATTTTAAAGGTTAATTTTTTTTTAAAAAAATAATTATTACTATTTTAAATTTTATAAATTGATAAGTATTTCAAAATAAACATTTCGAATAGAGTTAACAATAAATATGTGACAAAATATATATTATTTTTACTTTTTTTCTTTTTAAAATTTAATTAATATTTATATATTTCCGCTACATTAATATGAAGAATCACACTTATAATATTTTTCATATAATTGTGGAATATTTAAGTTTTTTCTTAATTTGAGAAAGAGACTCACTCCCACCAATGATGACTTCCAACGGGAAACTACAGAACATTGATTTATGTGTTGTATAAATTAATTTTTTTTATTAAATCTAATTATTATGATAACCTATTTTTAAAATGTAATTAATAATTACTTGTGTTGTGGGGTTGTTCTAGCTTTGCTTTTCAAATTCAAGTGACATGTTAAGACTCTTCAATTGTTGAACAGCTAAAATAGGTTGTAATTTTGATTGAAAATTATCTTTTTATCGTACGTGAAATATAATTTGTTCTAACAAGATCAGTTAAATAATATTCTATATATATATTCATGCTTGAAAGTAAGAGGTGAATTTAGTTTTTAAAATTGCAATTCATCGTTCAAATAATTTATTATGATTACGATTTGTTCTAAATATTTAACTTGGATAAGTGTTTTCGTAAATTAAAATACAAGTATCAAATCTTAAATGGTAAGAAAACTGTAAATAAAAATATAAATAGTAAAATTATATTTACTCAACTTCATAAATACTTCAAATTATACTCCTCATCACATGGCCAGAGAAGAAAATTTATTGGGTTTACATTATTTTATTTTTTTTGCCTAATTTTTTCATTTTCTTTCTGTCTTTCATTTTTCCCTTAATATAAAAAAAATTAAAAAAAATTGTCCATATTTAGGGAGCTAGTGAACTGATCATTTTCTTTTAAAAAAAATGAAATAAAGCGTAAGAAATTTTGTTTTTGGTCGATAGTATTACATACTTTATACAATAGACGTTTCTATTTATGTTATATTATTTAATTTAATTTAAAAATTTTAAAAGTAATTTATATTTTAAATTTTATGACTAAAGCAAATTATAAAATATTTATGTAATTATAAATAATCTCATACAACAAATAAACACTTGTAGATTGACATTGTCAGGTTCACAGTACCAAACATTTTGTCTTTACTTCTCTCTTATTATAAGCTCATTTACATGTGTGATTGATTATAAAAGTTGCATACAAAGTCTTATGTTTCCGTTGTACAAATATAATATTTTAAAAATTTATTAGTACGATGTAATTTAACTATTTAACGTTTAAATTATTATCTTTTTAAACTTTTGTGATAAGTCTTAAGGCTTGTTTGGTGAAATGGAGAAAAAGGAGTTAATTTTAAGAAAAATTTTAAATATTTTTATTTTTTTGTTCAGTTGTAAAATTTTGTGATAAATTATTTTAATATTATGAATTAGTATCCGGATAAGTTATTCGTCACATTGGGTGGCATAGTAATCACAGGATAACTTAATCGGGGATAAAATAGGTCAATGGCAAATATATCCTTTAAACTTTTTTTATACATCATTTTTTAGATTTATGTATATTTACCTTACCTTTAATATTATTCACTATTTCTTATTTTTACGATAGTTATTCATATTTTTCTATTAAAAATTACACAATACAAATTTTATTATGACTTTATTTGACCGATTCTTATGTTTGTTTATATTTCGATTTCTCGTATAAAAATTTTTGTTTAACAAATTTAGAGAGGACGATCTATTTTAAAACTAAATAAGGAAAAAAGTATTTTTAAATACTAATACATAAACAACATATTTAAGCTAAATAAAATTAAATTTTAATTTTTTAAAATAATGACTAAAGCTTGCAAAGAGAACATAAAAAGATTAAATAAAATGAAGATAAACTTTGTGAACAAACAACTTGTTCTTAAAATATATCAATATATTCATAAAAAAATCTCATAAATACAAGTAAAAAAGTAATGTTGAAAAGAACATATAAGAGTGTGTTTATTTTAATAATAAAATAAAATAAAATTATTTCCCTATTCGAAATTGTAAGTAAACCAATTAATTTAAATTTATACCTCGTATGATAATTAAAAAAGAATTTTTAATATAATTTAAATAAATATTATGTGAGGTGGGGTGGGAGGTAGACATGGAACGTAGACACAATTAATATGGAATGTAATTAATGAAAGTTGTTTTTACTACCTTTGATAAGTTATTTTCTTTAAAAAAAATTCAGTGAAAAATATTTTCAAAATATGTAACCATATGGAAAAATATTATATTTAATTTAATATTTTAAAATTGTATGGCTAGAATATCAAAATGTAAAGACGTGCTTCCATGAGTTATAAGAAAACGCGGATTAAGACAAATTTCAATATCTAAATATTCAAATATTGAATTTTGAATTTAACAAATTCAACATATAACTAAGTTTGGTTAACAAACGTCATACGCGGCATGGGGTCCAATGTGTTATTAGATCGGTTGACAATTATTAATTTCTCGATCAAGATTCAATTTTCCATCTTATAATCAGTTTTCATTTTTTCTAATCTTATGCTAGTTTGTTTTTTATTAGGCTTACATCGATGGATTTAATTTGAATTTGAGGTTTATCGGTTTCACTTATTATTTATCAGTTTGTAGACATGCCAACATGTTATGGAACCATTAAGATACTGACTTATCGGTCATTGATTTACTTGTTATTTATTCCTATCGCTTCGGTATCTTAACCGTTAAGATTTGATTAAAAAGAAAAATCATTGAAATTCACTTACAAACCAAATGAATTGAGAGATTGCATTTTGCTAAAAATGATAAATATGGTCACGTTGTAGAATAACATAGAGTTTGTGACAAGTAGAACTAAAAGTATGAAACTAAACTATAAGTCGAGGGCATTATATACAAAATTGTATAAATATAATTATTTAATAACGACTAGCTAATTATTGGTTAACTCGTTAAGAATAAAACTTCAAACCATCAAAAAACAATAACTCGATCACAAAAAAAAATGAAAATCGTTAATGAAAGGAGAGATGGTTGGCATATCCTCCCTCGACAGGGACGGGAATAACCTTCGGGCTTAATTACCAGTTATCAGACACATCCAGCTAAGGCTATCCACTTCGGTGGATCTTACCCAAATTTTGTAATTTTTAAAAAATCGTTATTGAAACTGCTAAATTAATCATAACTTATTATATCGATAAATCAATAACTTTTTTTCCAATTCAAGTTATTAATTTCGGTTCGATTATGAACAAACTCATTTTTATTAATGGACCAACAATAAACTCTATTAGTAGTTTCTGAATCCTTTTTATTATTTATAAGATTTTTCAATATACAAACACAAAATATATATAAAAGTTACTGAATTCGTGAGAACCTATAATAGGGATCCGCCCTAACTACCTTCTAATATTGATATTTTTTTTTGGTAAAAAAGGTCAATTCTTTGAAGAAACCCTTTTTCTACTACTTCAAGTTTGAACATTTCCCCAATTTTCACACGGAAGTCGAAACACAACTAAGCAAGCTTCATTCAACTTTTTTGGCTTGACTTGTATTTGCTTTCCCTTTACTTGTAAGGTTTCCTCAACTCAGAGAACCTATCTCTCGTATAAAGTTAAACAAGTAAATATACACGTCCTACATGATAATACGTGTGTGAGATATATATAAAATAATTTGTATTATGTCATGTAGGACGTGTGCATATATTTGTTCAATTTTATACAAGTTAAAGTGTCTCTATTTATAAATGCCAACCGAAGTCAAGTTGAAGAGCAGGAAGTAAGAACATCAATATGCTGGAAATTTTTGCTTCAGTATCGAAAAAATGTACATGAGTGGAGGGCGAAAAATCTCCTTTATTTACCTCAAAATATTCCCAAGTTGTGATCAAAACAACAGAAAGGACTCTATATAGTCGATGAACCATCAACAATTAGCATGCTTGAAAAAGAATATATTTCAAATTCCATAATACACCTGAGAAATATCACTATTTAACTGAATAAAATGCCGAGGCTGCAGAGGCGTCAGCGATTAAATAAACAGGTTGACGAGCCTGCAGGCAAGCACCTATCTCGAAAGGGCGTAGTTCAGATCCATCATATAAAAGATTAGCACCAGGGTGAATCAATTCTTTACTGTCAGTATCATCTTGATCAACTTTAGTAGTGTTTGAAGGCGATTCCTCTGCCTCGTAGATAGAAGGCAGGGCGTATGATCTGCAAGTTCATTTTAGAAACCATAAACTTCCTGAGATAATAACTATTAGCTGAATGACTAAATAAGAAATCAACTTTTGAAAGTCACGGTCGACACTACAGTAATAATATAATCTATAAGTTATTCAAGTCGAGCTAGCCTGTTGTCTCCCAAAAGGCTAGCTCGACTTGACTAAAGACACGTGAATTGGGAGGGAGGTAGCAATTAGCAAAGAAAACTTGTTTCTGTGAAAATGTGAAAGAGTTTACTCAGGACATACCTCAGAATGTTGCCATCAAAACTGAGAACTTCTGTACGACATCTTTGTCGATTAGCAAGTTTCAGCCTCTGGCTTTTGTTAGTGGGACAAGAAATGGGAGAAGAAGGATTAGCCAGGGGGTTCCATATTCTGCTCGCATAGGTCATAAGATGCCGGGATGCTGCATCTTTAGACTGTTCTTTCTGGTAAAGGAGTTTCGCGGTTGGACCATTGGCTTGATACTCAGCACAAACGTCTCGTAGTCTCCTTCTTAAGTCTTGCATTTCATTATGATGCTCTGTGAGTAAGTCTGTTTGGAGTAGCTGCGACGAGACTACTCTCTTACATATATTATTGCACAGCTTTGGACTAAACAGTGGGATACCGAATTCTACGCTTAGTGGAACCCATTCATACATCTCATGATCATCTGGTGCAAGGTTTTCCATGAGTCTACCTTTGTGAAGTCTTAATAGACGAATATAACCAACGGTCCAAAAGCTCATTTTGTTCCCTAAACCAGATAATAGTGAGTTCAAATTCAACATCTCTTTGTTGGGCAATCCTAATTCCTCCCCTATCTGAGGCGTTGAACCGTCCGAGTTTTTCAAGGGCAAAGGGACATCCAAAGTAACAACTCTTCCAGCCTCATCAAGATCATATCTGCTAAGTGGCTGTACAAGAACAGCTGAATGATTGAGAAGTGAATTTACACAATGTAAAAGTATACTTCCTTTCACTAAGTTCCCTTCCGCCATCTTCCCTGAACCTCCAATAGAAGATCCATCCCATGACCAGACAAGTGCTTTCTCACAACCAGCTAACGGCGCAGGAAGCATTCTTAAACATTGGCCTTTCATTAGAACAACAGAGAGAGGTCCACTAGTCATAGCAGAATATAGCACCAACTTCATCCAAGGCGTCATAGACAAGGGTGAGGGCGGTCCAAAATGAGCAGGGCCTTTTGCTCCTGGCAAAACAGAAGGAGGAATGGGAACCATGGATACGACAATATCATAGTCACGCTGAAATAGACGATCTAAAGTAGCCGGTGATAGAGCAGCCAAGCTTTCAATACGGAGAATATCCACACGATGATTCTTCTGTTTCTTTAAGCCTTTCGCAGTGTCTAAATCTTCAGTACATACCGACTTCTCATCAGTCTTAGAATATATATTATCACTGGAAGAATTACCAGATAGATGTTTCCTCTCATCAGTGCATTCTTTGGGTGTTCCAGAATGTACTGAATTATCATCATTTATCTCAAACTCATTCGTAGCAGAATCTCCCGAGTTTTCAGTAACAGAAATATCCATCAAGGAAGTAGTATCATCACTTGGACGAGAAATAATAGTGGTCTTTTCGACTTCTTCAGCTTGAACCCCTCCAGATGTTAGACATTCCAGGACACGCCGAAGGCTAAATGCATGATTGGCAAACTCCTGCAGTTCGCCTTCGAATACTGCACCCTCTAGTGTGCTCAAATCATTACAAAGATCTGCAATGCTAGCATGACCAAGTTTTCCAGCTTCATATAACGTCACTGCGTGAGATTTCAGACCTGAAGAAGAAAAGGGATGCTTCAAAGCACTACTGGGAAAGGATCAGATAATATCCTTACAGCTGAATGGGATACGCGGTATAACATGATATTTAGTAAGTCTTAATGTTCATTTGGTAGTGGATATGAAAAATTTAGAAGAAGAAGAAGCTATACCTGGTGATACAGATCCCATCATAAGATACGAAGTAATATTAGCATCAACAAGGAAAGCAATTCGACCATAACCAGACCCCGAGATATTATTTTCTGCCCATGGAATTTCTCCATGCTGAAAAGCATTGCCATCAGTGGATGCATTTGCAAAGACCAAGCTAGCATTTGAACCATCTTCTTCGTCGCTGAGGATACATTTAGGTGATCCCGGGACATTAGAATCTTGAAGAATAGCAGATGGATCGATTAGTTTGATAGCCCATCCTAATCGGCAAGCAAAAGAAGCAGCTGCTTGCAATTGAGAAAGATCAGCTTGTAATGTTGTCGATAACTCAGCAACAGTTGAATGCTCACTTGAAACCACAAAAACAGCATACAGCAACCTGGATAATGAGGTTTACAAATTATATCTTGACCACAATCGATACAAGAAAAGGGAATACCAGTGAACTAAGCTCCCGCTATGCACAGGGTCCGGGGAAGGGTAGGACCACAAGGGTCTACCGTACGCAGTCTTACCCTGCATTTCTACAAGAGACTGTTTCCATAGGTCTAACCCGTGATCTCCTAGTCACATGACAGTAACTTTACCAGTTACCCCGAGACTCCCTTCTATTGACCACAATCGATATATAAAGAAATATGATAACTCTTTTGTTTAAGAGAAATGCCTTACTCCTCAATGGGATCTTCATAAGACTGCTCTCGGTTTGAAACGAATCCTTCAAGCCTGGAAACTGTAATAGACTAATAGTGTGTATCAACACCCTAATGTCTCAAATAAAAATTTTTTTAACAGAAAGCATAAGTGTGCAATAAGGCCAGAAATCTTTTTGATGTATGTATAGTCAAGACAATTTTTACATTAGCTACTAGATGATGATAATCAATTATGATTACCAGCTTTCATTGAAATGAAAATGAACATCGTCAAGCCAAGAATGACTAATCGAGAAAAGAAAAACAAGTAACAAAAACACTTCTAAACCAAATCTGAATTTACGAATTACCTTTAAAGCGATCATCAGCATAGACAGGAACATCAAAGTACACTAGTCCATGTCGATGTAGACCTCTTATAATTTCCGGATTAAAAAGAACAAAAGAATTTGCTTCCTCACAGATTTTATCTATTGTTGCCATTTCTTCTTCTGTCAATTTCTGTAAGAAGAAGAACAGATAAGCCTCACATATCAATCACAAAGGAAGCGGAATGTTACGTTTTATGGAGGAATGGAATGTCTATGTCAACTTGCCTTAAATTCTTCCATAGTAAAGTTGACTAGACAAACTGCCCACCATGGCTCAATAACAAAGTCCACTGGCTGCGTAGGCAACAGTTCTTTCGCTATTGATTTGTTCAGTTTCCACATAAATTTCTGCCAAGCTCCAAAAATTATGAAAATTAAGTTAGACAAACAACAAAAGAATTCACTCGTCTCAACATGAGCAATCGAGCTTAGCATGCTGATATCGATAAATTCATTTCTTCCAACTCCACTTACCATGACCAAAGAGTTGCACAAACTATTATCTTCTATATACCATAAAATGTATTACAACAGTGTAGCAGTTAGCCATAACTTTTTTTTTCTGTACAATACCTTAGACTTGCACTTATTCATGATATCGATAAATTCATTTCTTCCAACTCCAGTGAGCCGTAAGGCATCAGCAGCACTAAAATTCGGGATGCTGTCATAAGGTTGCTCTGCATTCAAAATTCAGAGAAGAAAGAAAGAAATGATACACTCTAAACTTTAAGTTAAGAACATTAGAAACACAATCCACTCAAGCGATAGTATCAGAACTATCTGTGCTACGACTTTTCTGTTTCAATAAAAGGAAAAACATGGCCTATTACCATTTTTCATGACCTCAAATAACATGTCGCAGTAGTATTTGAAAGGAGACATCCTCATGACACGGCAAAAATAATCCGCTAGGTGATATGGG